ATATTCAATGACTAAATAACATGAGTACAAAGTTTGGGAAGCTATGCAAAACAGTACTGGCATAGAGTTTGTATTTTTAAATTTTTGTTGGCTCTCAAAAATGAAATGACACTTTTATTACAGTATCTTTTATGAATTCTTTGAGAGCAGGGACTACTTATACATCTTTGTACCCTCTCTGTGTCTAGATATTAGGTGCTCAAATTTTTGTTGATAGGACTGTAAATTTTCATCTCAGTGAGGTCATTTGATTTGATTTAATGGCATCTGATATCTAAGCTTCAGGACATAGACAAGTTAATGCTAACAACTGAAACACCAGAGAACCAATCTATGCTAGAAAATTTTCATATTATTCCTTTGTAGATCAGGAAGTGATTTAACATAGAGAAAGGTGAATTAACATAGGGAAAGTTTAAATTGGAAAAAAACAACATAACAAATAGTTTAAATAGCTGAAGTGTATTTATGAATCACATTCAGACTGGCCATACTAACCAAGAATCTTAAGGATAAGCTCTGTTGGCTAAACATCCTGAATACTGTTAACCTCTTCAAATGTTATGGCTTCTAAAAAAATTGCTACAGCCCTGACCGACGTGGCTCAGTTGGTTGGAGCACCATCCCGTGCATCAGAAGGTCTTGGGTTCGATTCCCGGTCGGGGAACATACCCAGGTTGCAGGTTCAATCCCCTATCGGGGCATGTACAGAAGGGTACAGATCAATGTTTCTTTCTCAAATCAATGTTCCTCCCTCGCTGAGATTTATAATTAAAAAAACAACAACAACAAAACTGCTACCATCTATTGTTTTTAATTGCCCGTCACTCACATGAATATAGAAAATTGAATTATGCAGCTATGTCATCCCAACTGACAGATGGGCTTGGCATATTTGTTAGAATCATGTGAGGAGGACTGGAAAATTTCTTACATGACATTACACTGACCTTAAAATGTAAACGTTGCAAACAGAGTTTTAGTGTTTTTATATGAGCCATGGGATCACCTGAAAAGGCAGCATGCTCTATTGTAGTGAATACCTGCCGGACAGTTGCACTTTTGCTAAAGCACATACATGATTTTGGTTGAAATGTCACAGTATGGATATAATTTTTTTTTTAAGTAACAGTAACAATAAAAACGGCACCTGGCAGTGTTATGTCCTCAGTATTATTTATACAAAAGCATAAAATGTAGAGGTAGTTGCAGATGATTTTTCACAATTTAACTCAAATTATGATGTGGATATATGACTCGTATTCAGACCAGCCCTATAACCAAGATACTAATTCGGCTCTATGTCTACTAAGCCGTTCTTCTGAAAACAGTCTTCTCAATCTGCCACAATATTCCTATTTGGTTTCAGTTATCAAAGCAAAAATAAATTTTAAAAAACTGACATTCTCCATTTAACTGTGTTCTTCTAAATGCAAACACAATAGGATTAAACAGGAGAGAGGTTTTAATATTAATACCTCAATCAACACAAACAGAAATTTGAAATTTCCTAGTTCTGTTTTCTCAGTGCATACTGACCACCCCTTCTTCTCATGACAAACTTACTTTGCTGTCTAAAACAGATCAAGAATTTTTAAAAAAATATGTCAATGCAAAAATAAGATGTGCAATCACATTTTAACTGTTCTTTACAGAAAACATTTCCTTAAATATGAGAAGCACCCTATGTAAAAATATCCATATTTTTTAAAAAGTTATTTTACAGTAGGCCGTCCTGTTGTATTTGTGGACCAGTTATAAATTAACTGTTTTTATAAAGGGAACTGGGAGAAAGAGACCCACGGTTCAAAATGAACAGAAGAGGAGGGACTAGGGGACGGAGCATGCCACCGGGAAAGGTCATTCAGCACCCCTGGAGGCTGGGAAGACACTGTCCCCACATCTGACTCAAATCACTGGAAACTATGAGTTGGAACAAAGAAAGGTAAACAGAAAAACTCTGGCGTCAGATGACAGTACCATTTCCTTAGCTATAATCTAAATGATTTGTCTTGATCGCAACATAAAATGAAGCTAACTCATCTACCTTCCAAAGTTGTTGCAAGGATTAAGATAATAAACATACAAATCTGTATATGTTGAAAGGTCTGAGGAAATATTTACCAAAAATGTTAACAGTGATTATTTTTGGCTAGCAGACATACAGATACATATAAAATGCATATCTGTATTTCCTAATTTTCATACAATGAGTAACTATTTCTTGTGTAACTGATGCACACAAGTCACGCAGCACAGTGCTGGCACACATATTGGATTAAAATTGGTGCCTATCTGCATTATTAACACAAAAAACAAAGCAAGGTATCATCTGCCCTTCCTTCTTGTTTTTGGATGCCTCTCTACGGAGGAAAAGAAGTTGATTTCTACCACACAAAGTCCATGACAGACTTCCCACTCCTGAGCCCATGGGAAGGTCACAGTTTAGAGGAATGGGTGGGTCTTTATGTGCTTGTGACTTAGTGCTGGAAAGAGCTGCCCAGCCATGGGAAAGATCAGCAAAGCAAATCAAAACAAAATTTGTCCTGGTCATATAATAAATTAATGCATAAAATACCACCTATCTTCCCAGCTAACTGAATTTAGGAGGGTGCCTCAAAGAACAAACATTCCCAGATCCAACAAAGCAATTAAGATTTGGATTTTTTTTGTTATTAATTATATAGGATAGAAACCTAGTTCAACTTTATTGTCTGAATTGATTTTATTTTTGAAGTACCTAAACTAATTATTCACCACAGGCTTCAAGACTTGAAAATAAAGATCTTGGAAAAACTACCACAAAGAGCTGTTTAACCAAAATTATTATTATTATAATTGCAGGATATTGCAGATAAATACATTTGTATTTACTGTAGAAGAAATTTTGCACATTTTCAAGAATGCTTTGAATTCAGCTAAATCTGCTACCTAAAATGAGTGTCGATATTCCTTTGATCTCAGCTACAGAGTCCAGTAATCCCCTAGGGAAAAGATAGTGAAGTTAATGCTTATAAATAAATAATTCAAGAGGGATTTGAGCTTTGAAGAGAATGAGTCTTTTTTGTTGTTGTCTTAACTAGTGCTTCTAGATCTTTAGTAAGACTTTCCTACTCTCTACCTTCTCTTTATGCTTGATATAAAATATAATGCTTGGGAACATTTTCAAAGCTTCGGTAGTTTTAAATTGCTTCTAAATCTGATCATCAAATTTCATTTACACTGATTTCCTAGGGAACAAAAGAATTCTATCCAGGTTTAAGCGTAATAGTAAAAATGAGCCATGTAACAGTCTTTTTTGCTGCAATATGGGACTTTGCATATTATTTTAAAGTTATATATGTTCCAAAAAGAATGGCACCTTTATTCTCTCCTTCTACTCCCCTTACCCCCCAAAGGAAAAAAATGTTAGCTAAGCTTCTAAGTTTTCATACATTGCAAAAAACGAGGCACAGAAACTAAAATTCTAATTAAGCAAAAAAAAAAAAATATATATATATGTATATATAAATAATTTAATGTCGAGTTTATTATCAACACTTTCATATTCTGGATCTGACTGAATGCAATTTTGTGTAAGCAGTAAAGTTAGTGTTATCTCCTCCTGATTAATAGAGAATATTAAAAATTAAATAAATAAAGTCATTTATTAAGGAGACTAACAATGAGCCGTGAGGTGAGGAGGAAAAGCAGGAGTTGAGGACACAAGCGTCTAAGGATGACTCTGTTTCCTTTTTGACAGTTTTTTGAAAAACGTAATTCCTTCTCTACTTTGTGTTGCCTGAGAGCCACTATGGTTTTACAAAATTCTGTAACAGTAATTACATGTAATCACCCACAGGTACATTTGTTTGAAGCCTATAAATACTATGTTCGTAATACTAAACTATCTCCCTTGCTTATTTGTAAAAAGAAAAATATATTATATATTTTTATAAAGTTAACACTGAGGGCAGAGGAAAAGGAATGAGAAGCAGTGTATAGTCACAGTTTCTCCGAACACAGTAACCACACCGGGGTCTAGCTCAAGCCACCTGGTCAAGCAGTGTCTGAGGAAGAGTCATAGGAGGCAGAGACGATGAAATTGCTGCTGTTGGAGTGCCCGGCCACTGACTGGGCAGCCTGCTGGCTCAGATTGTTACAGATCAGCACCAGCTGGTTGCTCTGGGCCTCGGACAGGGTGCTGCAACTCTGATACACACTGAAGTTGGTTTTCCTGCCGGGGATGTTGCCCTTCTCACACATGGTCTTCACCATCTTGGCCAGCTTGTTCTTGCCGAGGGCCTGGCAGTTGTACCAATGCAGAGCCGCCAGGTTCACGACTGGCTTGATGGACAAATAGAAAGGGGCATCCTCATAGCGCATGGCTGGAGGCCGCCGCTGGGCATACTCCTTGTAGTCCTGGATGGGGCACGTCTGTGGGGCGTGCTGGGTGGCATACACACGGGAGTCCGTCCCCCCTCTCTTGGTCTTGGCATTCAGGTCGCCGGTGTCTTGACCCATCCACTCTAAGTATTCCAGCCCCGTTTCTGTGACCCGGAGCCGGATATCACCCCACTTCAAGGTAGATCCATGGAAGCCTGTGCAATGCCCAAAAGCCTTTGTGTTGTTGAGCCAGACGAGGTTGAGCAGGCCTTCGGGGTTATAGCGGCTTAGCAGTCCCCTTTTCCGCAGAATGAGCTCATCAGCAAAGGTGAGCTTCATGGACTTGTGTGGCTTATTTCCCTTTCCTTTGCAGCGGAGTTCAATCTGCTTCTGCTTCAGGGCCTCCTGGGAACGCTTGAATTCCTTATCCCTGGTGATACTGTAGCCATACCTGTGCTCTTTTAGGTACCGTTCGAGTCCACACTGGTAGTTGGCCAAGCTGTTGGGTTCATATTCGGACCCATCCTTCTGCCTGGCATCTACAAAGAAAGAGGCAAGGTAGGCATCCAGCTCCTTGCAAGGGATGACATAGATCTCTCTTGTTTCCGAAGGGTACTTGGAGATGAGGAACTCGCGGAAATTGCGGAGCGCGGTCTGCGTGCTCCGGATGGTTTTCTCATTCTGCTCTCTGCTGAGCTCAGCTGCTCTTTCATCCTGGTCTGCAACAAATTGGGGAGGGGAGGGATAAAGAGGGTGTTGATGAGTTCAGACAATGCACTTTCTACTCTGAAATAAAGTTTCCTTTTATAATGAAAAGGGAAAGAAGGAATCAATTTTACAGAGGTCACTGATAAATGGTACTTATATACCTGTTGCATTGTAATAGCCAACTGTTATATTCACAAGTGATGTACCAGACAAAAGTATGGCTCTTCGCAATCAAAATGAGCATCTTGTATCATTAGCACATAGTTTAGTGCGTGAAGGTTTGTGGAAAGAGTGAGATCAGAGGCTGCCTTTGTTTTAGGAAACATGTGAGACATTTAAGAGAACTTGAATTTGTAAGGTTGATCAGCGAAAGGAAGTTTTTGTAATAACCACATACAACAGTAAAAATAAAATTTCTAATAAATAAAATTTTATTCATAAAACACTCCTTTTAGTGTTACTGTACACATTTATAAATGATCATGTTATTTTAAAATGACAGTCCTAAGGTATAATTGCCAAAATCCTCATTACTTTATAAAATGAAATAAATTAAAATTCACTAAACTAGCAAATTAGACTTTTTATTGGCACATTTTTGAGATCACATTTCCAAAATTCAAATATACAAAGTATATTTTATGCTTCATTGGACTAAACTTTCAGTTATGCTAAAACTATTTGAAGTTGTTTCTATATCAACAGTAAAGATGTGTATAAAAACGTGTCTCTTTCCATCAAAAAGATGGAAGCCACAGGTTACATGTAACCTTTATCATGCTGGCTTCCTTTACTGTTTACATGTAAAGCCAAGGGGGGCAGCACATCTGTTTATTTTGGCTACTTGTTCAAATATCTATCACAGCAGTCTTCAAACTTCAAATAAAGACTTTCTAAGAAATAAACATTCACAGACAACTTTGGGGAATAAAAGATCCAGTTCCTCAACTTTCCCATGGAACCTTTTCTAAAACGTATCTGTCTGAAATGAAGGCTGAGTTTGCACATGTTGCTATCTCAAATCTACCATGGTACATACTCTGGGGTGTACAAGACTTTGCGAGACCAAACACAATTTATAAATTGGTGATTAAATTCGTAATGTTTCTTGTCCTCTGTCTTATCCATATCCAAATATAGGTGAAATATACCATGAGAAGCAGGGTAGCCCTAACCGGTTTGGCTCAGTGGATAGAGCGTCAGCCTGCGGACTGAAAGGTCCCAGGTTCGATTCCGGTCAAGGGCATGTACCTTGGTTGCGGGCACATCCCCAGTAGGAGGTGTGCAGGAGGCAGCTGATCGATGTTTCTAACTCTCTATCCTCTCCCTTCCTCTCTGTAAAAAGTCAATAAAATATATTTTTTTAAAAAAAGAAGCAGGGTAATTGGGCCTAAATTGTGTTCTGAATTCAGGACTTTTGAAACAGGCTATTTATAAGCCAGTGAGGTTGATTATTTTTTTTTTTTTTTTTTTTTTTTTTTTTTAAATATATTTTATTGATTTTTTACAGAGAGGAAGGGAGAGAGATAGAGAGTTAGAAACATCGATGAGAGAGAAACATCGATCAGCTGCCTCCTGCACATCTCCTACTGGGGATGTGCCCGCAACCCAGGTACATGCCCTTGACCGGAATCGAACCTGGGACCTTTTAGTCCGCAGGCAGACGCTCTATCCACTGAGCCAACCCGGTTTCGGCGAGGTTGATTATTTTAATCATATGAAATACTGATCCTATTTGCGGTCAATCTCATCTTCATTTTATATAATATTCAATATTTTCTACCTCCTTTTTACAAAAATACTCGAATTAAAACTAGCATTGAAAACCTTAGGGTGTCCATTTAAGAATGAGTGAATGGTATTCAGTTTCTCAAAGTTCTTTTCAAGGGTATGCGAATAAAATATTTTTTTTAAAAAATATATTTTATTGATTTTTTTACAGAGAGGAAGGGAGAGGGATAGAGAGTTAGAAACATAGATGAGAGAGAAACATCGATCAGCTGCCTCCTGCACACCCCCTACTGGGGATGTGCCCGCAACCAAGGTACATGCCCTTGACCGGAATCGAACCTGGGACCCTTCAGTCTGCAGGCCAATGCTCTATCCACTGAGCCAAACCGGTTAGGGCCGAATAAAAGAATTTAAGTCTGTTGAACTTAAGCATCATTAGTTGGTATCCTCTAAGTAGAAGGGATGAGTGACCTTGGTTCTTTGAAGGAGTGATCACTTATTTCTTGCTGTACCATCCACAAGAACCTTAATATTTATTAAATCTTACTCTTGGCTTTTCAAAAGGAGAAGCCATCCATAAAATCTAGTATAGGTATCCCCCTTTTGAAAGTCTGCATGATGCCACTTCACTTTCGCGAAAGACCTACATTAGGAGCACCTGTTTTTTGCTAAGAAAAGAAATCTGAAGAGGATTTTTACGTTGCAAAAGTAGCATTCAGTGTTGGTTTTGCAATGAGCTGTTACAGAAGCAGCACAAACTCTGAACAGCTAGTCCCACCAAGTTTCTTCCCTGGGAACTATACTCAGCATCTCAGCATCCAGCTGCCACAGCACTGAACTGTGTCTGTGAGCATCTACGCTATGTATCTCAATTGATTTTGTGCATCCTTTAGCAGGATGTGTCCTAAGGTATAAGAAAGGCCAAGAGAGCTTGTAGGGTTGAAATGATGAGCATGAAACGGCATAAATTAAGATCTTCAATCATGGTGGACGAAATAAGGACATATAAGTCAATGGTAAGTGTTTATTCACTCTACGCCATTTCGGTTTAAGACAATTTTTATTGGAATGCTCTACGACAGAACCATGCACAGAGAAATGGGTCTGAAAAAACCCAAGGGTCTGTGACTTAAAGGGGGGCCCCAGGAGGAGCCCCAACACTGGCTCAGGAACTCTTATGGAGACCCTGGGTAAGGTTTTTACAGACCAACTTCCTGTACTTATTTACATAGTCTTCATGACCCATTAATCCAATTATTACCTCCCTTGTTAGGAGATGGGATGGGAAAACATAATTAGAGCAGTATCTTGTCTTCTCACTTAATTTGAGATTTAGGTTAGATTTTTTTTTTTTTTAGATTTCTGTTAGATTTAAATTAAGATCCATTTGCTTCTATTGCTATAGCACTCAACAGAAAATAAACTCAGCTATCACACTCCTTTTATGATTTTATGAAAGTAATACATCTGAAGCAATAAAAAACATTTCTCGATGTTTAACTTATTTATTATTTTCATTTAAGAGTATTTTGTCCTCTCACTCGATAGAGAAAACAAATGATATTCAAATTCTCCTTATAAATCACTAAATGATAAATCCACCAGCTTACTAAATAAAAATATATTTTAAATTTGGAAAGTAAAAGAAAAGGTAAAAAGAAATCTGGTGAGTAGATTTACATTTATGAAGCTGAAGCTGGAATGAATATTTAATCCACATGTGTGGGTACCCGCGGTGCCCCCTAGCATTTCAAGAAGACCTGTGGGGTATAGTCACAGGTAAGTCCCTGATGGTTCTGTAGATTCCATCATAGCTAGACGAGATGACTATTACACATAAAACTAATTTTAAAAAGAACATACACGGCTGTATAATTAGGAATAGAGTTTGTGGCTCTAGATCCTATAGGAATTCAGAAAGAAAAAAGAGAAGTCAAATAGAGCTTGAGCAATGTATTAAAGGATGGGTACCATTTGGTTAATTAGAATAGGAAGGTAGGGCATTCCAGGAAGAAACTGCATGAGCAAAGGGAAAGAAATGGGAAGGAATCTGGCTTACGCTCATGAGGACTGTAAAAGAACCCATTGTGGCCCTCGAGTCAAAAAGTTTGCCCACCCCTGTTCTAGATCCTATAGGAATTCAGAAAGAAAAAAGAGAAGTCAAATAGAGCTTGAGCAATGTATTAAAGGATGGGTACCATTTGGTTAATTAGAATAGGAAGGTAGGGCATTCCAGGAAGAAACTGCATGAGCAAAGGGAAAGAAATGGGAAGGAATCTGGCTTATGCTCATGAGGACTGTAAAATCCCTATCCTGGTTTGGGGATGGGAGAAGGGCTGGAGTGGGGAATAAAGCTAGACCAGTAGGATGACCACATGGAGAATTGTACATAGTCATTATTAACATAACACCAAAGAGAGGAGACTGAATATTTTAAGTGCAAAGAACCTCTAAATGCCATGAAAAAGCTGATTTTGGGGGGAAAAATCAATACCCCAATTCTCTACCTTTGACTTTCTTTATTCCCCTTATTCTGTTATTTTCTTCCACATACCTACTGCCATCTGACATACTTTACATGTTTACTTGATTACCTGCTTAGCATATGTCTCTCCTGAGTGGGCTGTGAGCTCCATAGGAGCCAGGACTACACAGCTTTATTCCCAGGGCCTGGAAAAGCACTCGAGAATGTAGCATTCATTAAAAATGTGTCGACTGAATTAACACAGAAGCTGACAGGAAAGTTACTGGGATAACTCTGTGTGTGTAATTACACAATTCACTTTAGACCGTTTAGAAAGGATTAAACAAAAATCAGTGGCATAAAATTAAACTTTGGGACTCACAAGCATAATCTCAGTCACTTTGTTAAGGCTCTTCAGAGAGTTGCCTTGGTCAGGGCAGGTGACGTGGACATCTGTAGTAACGGTACAGAATGGCTTATGAGGCCCCTGGAAGCTTTTCGCTGGGCTAATTCTCCAGGAAATAAAGACTTATCAGCCATCACACAAATTGCTCCAAGAAAATATCTTTATCTTACTCTTAGGATGAGGAAAGAAAAATAATACTTTAATAAAAGTCCATATTAGAATTAATATATCCATAAAATCAAGGTGTAGCTCCCTCCCCCCAATCCTGACCTCCACTTTAAAAAGAGATTATACTGCCTGGCTGGTGTGGCTCAGTGGTTGAGCACTGACCCATGAACGAGGAGGTCAGGGTTTGATTCTTGGTTGGGGCACATGCTGGGTAGTGGGCTCCATCCTCAGTAGGGGGCCTG